AAAAAAAAAAAAAAAAAGACCTAAGAAAGGGAACAACTAAAGGCTCTCTAATCTCTTACTCCTTCCGCCGGGCCCAGACTCCCAGAGACTACCTCCTCCAGCCCTAAACCCAATGTCCGCTTACCATGGAACAAAGCAAGGCCGGTCTGTAAATTCTTCTTGATGTCTAATTTAAATCCCAACTTGGCGGACTCTCAAACAGGATCAGATAGGCAACTGCCTCCAGCTGCGGCTTCTTGCTGCCCTCAAGTGGCCACGTGACGAGCCACAACCCTCTCGTCCTGTGGGTTTCCTCTTTCCCGGGCCTGCCCACCCCCTGTCTCCGACCTCTTGCCTTCCCTGAGGTCAAGGTGAGAGGTCCCGGGACGGATTCCAGTTCCAGCCCCGGCGTCTTTGCACATTCCTCCATCTGGGGTACCTCGTGGTCTGTCTTACAAGAAGAGCTCAGGCTGAAACATAAACTTGGATATAGTAAAAGCAAATGTGTAAATTTTAATGTAAGGCTCTAGACTTTGAGATCGTAATCACCTGGAGGGTGTGTGTGTGTGTGTGTGTGTGTGTGTGTGTGTTTATTTTGTTTGTTTTTTGAAACAGGTTCTCGAACGTTGCCTAGGCTGGAGTGCAGTGCTGCGATCATAGCTCACTGCAGCTTCCAACTCCTGGACTCAAGCAATGGCGAGAGTATATGAAAACACAGATTTCTGGACTCCACCCTCAAGTTTCTAATTCACTAGGTCTGGGATGAGGGCAGAGCGTACCCAGGTAATCCCAGGACCACATTTTGAGAGCCAGTGCTGTTGAATCCCCAGTTCCTTGCAGTCCCTCACTGCTCCTCGTCTGCCAGTAGGAGAAAAAGCAAACAGCTCAGGAAAAATCAACACCCGGGACAAAAACTTTAGTATCTCGAAAAAGGTCAAAGAGGGGGCACCCGGATTTGAACCGGGGACCTCTTGATCTGCAGTCAAATGCTCTACCACTGAGCTATACCCCCTCTGCCGGTGAGTAAGCGCAGGTTGTCTCTTAGTGCTATTGCTGCGCAGGCGCCGTGTGGAGTTCCCGAAGGGAAGTGGAAATGGGGTAAGACGTTTACAAGAAATGGAAAAAATACAACTCCCAGAAAAATGACTCACTTGGAAGCAGGGGTTGTTTCCTGAAGCTCTGAGCTAAAGATTCCCACTGGCGGTGTAAGAAAATATATTCGTGGGGTGTGGAAGGAGTCTCTAGGAATATTTCACTTCGGGGGTGTCCTACTCTCCTGCCTTGCAGAAGCCCCCTTGCCACATCTGGGAGCTTCTTTTTCCCGCTCACGCGGCTTCTCCCGGTCTGTCTTCTCCAGCCCAGCCCTTAGAAACTCAGCCTCCCTCCCGCCATGAAAGAGCCGTCGGGGTCACTGGCCAGGCTGACCTGGGGGTGCGCCCGCCTCCGCCCTGCCATTGCGAGGTTGAGCCACCCGCACCGTGTTCCAAGGGTCAGCCCTGAGCTCCTAGCCCTCACTGGTACTGCATTCCACCCTGGGATGCACACGCAGGCTGAGCCACTGGCAGGGGCTAGGACCCATCCTCACTCGCCTGCAAAAGAAAAGATGGTGGCAGGGCCCGAGACTCCCTCCCGTTCCATCTGTGCAGAAACTCTTTAGGAGACCTCCGGAGACCAAAACACTAAAACTTACGTACGCAAAGGGGGCACCCGGATTTGAACCGGGGACCTCTTGATCTGCAGTCAAATGCTCTACCACTGAGCTATACCCCCACCATACCATACGGCTCTCATTAGAATAAATTTCTACGGAATAGGGGTGTGGCCTTCACTTTCCTTTAAAGTTTTAATCTGTGAGTTGCGTCCGGATACCGATTGAAAACAACACAAAATACAGTGGGAATGGCTAGAACTCCTAAGTTCTTCCTCCACAGTCACGCTTTCGGAAAAACAACTAGATTAAGGAATCTTGGGTCCTCTATATCCGTGCCTAGACTCTCCCCCAGATGTCCACTGACTGGCTTGAGAAAACGACTGTCCCCAGCATCGCCCCAGGTCTAGGGATGTACAGATTAACAGACTCTCCACCTTGTCTCCTGGACTTTTCCAGCCCCAGAGTCGCTCCTCCCCTTCTCTCAAACCAAAAGCCAGTTTGAGGAACAGACAGAGGAGAAGGCAGAAATAAGAGGTGAACAGTTTTCAATAGCATTTATTACAGACTTATAAAAATCCTAATACAGTATATATCTTTTTAAAATCCTGGCTGGGCGCGGTGGTTCATGCGTGTAATCCCAGCACTTTGGGAGGCCGTGGCGGGCGGCTCACGAGGTGAGGAGATCGAGACCATCATGGCCAACATGGTGAAACCCCATCTCTACTAAAAATACAAAAAATTAGCAGGTCGTGGTGGTGCGCGCTTGTAGTCCCAGCTACTCGGGAGGCCGAGGAAGGAGAATCGCTTGAACCCGGGAGGCGGAGGTTGCAGTGAGCCGAGATCGCGCCACTACTGCACTCCAGCCTTGGCGGCAGAGTGAGACTCCAAAAAAAAAAAAAAAAAAAAAAAATCGTTGCACAAAGACAAAATAAGCAGCCCCTGTAGGAATCCGGTATATTTGGGAGGAGTGGGATTCACATTGGAAGGACACTAGAAGTGAAGGGGATGCTGTGGAGTGGCTTAAAGTCCAAGAACTGTGGTCAGAGTCAGCATCTCAGAGGGAATGGAAAGACGAGGAGTGGAATCTCTGCAGTGCAAAGGGCTGTCCCTATCTGGGACGTCCTGTCCTCCTGCATTTCCCCTTACGGTTTTTGCCTCTACCCTCTTCCCCTTGAGCCCACCTTCTCCACCTTTCTAGAATCTCCTGTGCCCAAAGGGAATGTGACAAAAATGGCTGAGGGGCCAAAAAGCCTGAGGGTGGGGGTGGGTTTGAGGAAATGAAAACCAATTCCAGGGGTGTCTTTTTTTTTTTTTGAGACGGAGTCTCGCTCTGTCGCCCAGGCTGGAGTACAGTGGCGCAATCTCAGCTCACTGCAACCTCCGCCTCCCGGGTTCAAAGGATTCTCCTGTCTCAGCCTTCCTAGTAGCTAGGATTACAGACTTCTGCCACTACGTGTGGCTACTTTTTGTGTTTTGTTTTGTTTGAGATGGTGTCTCGCTCTGTCACCCAGGCTGGAGTACAGGGCCACAATCTCGGCTCACTGCAACCTCCACCTCCCAGGTTCAAGCAATTCTTCTGCCTCAGCCACCCGAGTAGCTAGGACTACAGGCGTGCACCACCACCAAGCTAATTTTTATGTTTTTAGTAGAGATGGGATTTCACCGTGTTAGCCAGGCTGGTCTCCAACTCCTGACCTCAAGTAATCCTCCCGCCTCAGCCACCCAAAGTGCTGGGATTACAGGCATGAGCCACCGTGCCCGGCCTCAGGGGTCTCTTAATCTGCCCCCTAACACACACATTATTCCTATGGAGAGGTTGAGGGCTGAGGAGAGGGAGAGGGTTCCACTCCCTAATTCTGCAACATATCCAACATTTCCCTGACATCTCCAAGAAGGATGCCTGTGGCCATGGTGAGGGGCAGCTTATTCCGATGTGCTGTCTGCAGGAATCCAAGGTATGCAGTCCAATTCTCAGCAACGGGTAGGGAGAATGGTGTCAATCTCACTGTCCATAGCAGCCACTGCTCCCACCAGAGAATCATAAAAAAGTAATAAATAGCCACTTGATTTTCCACCCATGTTGACCATGCAAAACCCCAAAGTTTCTGATTGGCCTCAGACTGGAACATCAGTTAGCAACGGCCTGAGATTGCATCCACTGGAGTGCAGCAGGCAGCCTGCAGGGAGGGAGGAACAGGAGGGGTCAGCCTATCCCAAGAGAATGATGGCCTTCAAGTCCCCAGCCCTTTCCCAAAGCAGACTGGGTGCAGGAAGCAAAGTTACATCCAATCATTCAATTAACAGAGACAAACTGACTTGAGTACCTGCTGTGCATCAGGTACTGTGCAAGGCTCTGGAGTCACTGGTGAAAAGGCAGACATGCCCCTGAGGCTTACTGTCTGATGGAAGAGATAGATACTAAATAAATGGTCAGACACATAATTCTATAATTACATGCAGTGATAAAGGAAATATACAGGGCTTCTCTGAGGAAGGAGCCTGGAGACTCACCTTGCTCGGCCCCTTAGCTGTGTCTTTGGCCAAGGATTCTTCACGGTGATGTGTGCCAGAAAGAGGTTCCCTACACGAGTTCCCCCATTAGACGGTAAACAACTCCGGCGCATGGGTGGAGCCTTGGTCATCTCTGTATCATCCTCAGCCTCGGTCTGGCACCACACAGGGAACACAGAGGGTACTTAGAAAATGCTGATTGGGCCAGGCACAATGGCTCACGCCTGTAATCCCAGCACTTTGGGAGGCGGAGGCGGGTGGATCACCTGAGGCCGGGAATTCGAGACCAGCCTGACCAACAGGGAGAAACCCCGTCTCTACTAGAAACACAAAAATCAGCTGGGCATGGTGGCGCATGCTACTTGGGAGGCTGAGGCAAGAGAATCGCTTGAACCCAGGAGACGGAGGTTGCAGTGAGCCGAGATCATGCTATTGCACTCCAGCCTGGGAAACAGGAGTGAAACTCCACACAATCAATCAATAAATAAAGTGGCCTGGCGCAGTGGCTCACACCTGTAATCCCAGCACTTTGGGAGGCCGAGGCAGGCAGATCACGAGGTCAGGAGATCAAGAGCATCCTGGATAACACGGTGAAACTCCGTCTCTACTAAAAATACAAAAAAAAAAAAAAAAAAAAAATTAGCCGGGCATGGTGGCAGGCGCCTGTAATCACAGCTACTCGGGAGGCTGAGGCAGAAGAATGGCGTGAACCCAGGAGGCGGAGCTTGCAGTGAGCCGAGATCGAGCCACTGCACTGTAGCCTGGCAGCCTGGGTGACAGAGCCAGACGCTGTCTCAAAAAAAAAAAAGAATGCTGGCCGGGCGCGGTGGCTCACGTCTGTAATCCCAGCACTCTGGGAGGCCAAGGCGGGCGGATCACAAGGTCAGGAGATTGAGACCATCCTCCTGGCTAACATGGTGAAACCCCGTTTCTACTAAAAATACAAGAAATTAGCCGGGCGTGGTGGCGGGCGCCTGTAGTCCCAGCTACTCGGAGGCTGAGGCAGGAGAATGGCCTGAGCCCACGAGGTGGAGCTTGCAGTGAGCCGAGATCTCACCACTGCACTCCAGCCTGGGCGACAAAGCGAGACGCCGTCTCAAAAAAAAAGAATGCTGATTGAACTGACTGTGGGTTGTGGAAGAGGGTTCTCCTGACCCAGGGGGTGGCAAGGACACTGCCAGAAACGTGTGGTCCCTTGCCTAAAGTCTCCCCTTCTTCAGTAAAACACACCTGGGCCAGGCATGGTAGCTCATTCCTGTAATTCCAACAGTTTGGGAGGCCGAGGCAGGGGGATCGTTTGAACCCTGGTGTTTGAGACCAGCCATGGGCAACGTGGCAAAATTCTCTCTCTACAAAAATACAAAAATTAGCAGGGCATGGTGGTGTGCGCCTGTAGTCCTAACTAGGGAGGCTGAGGTAGGAGGATCGCTTGAGCCCAGGAAGTTGAAGCTGCAGTGAGCCATGTTTGCACAACTGTACTCCAGCCTGGGGGGGCGACAGAGTGAGACCCTGCCTTGAAAAAAAAAAGAGATACCTGTGTACCCAGCCTGCCGTGATTCTGCTTGACAAGTAAGAGGAAAGGGAAACTTTCCAGGCCTGATGTAAGGCCCTTTCTACGTGGCCCAGCTCCTTCAAATCCTCCAGGTGATTACTCAGTAGCTATCTGCTCAGTGTCCCTTGTCAGGTAACTTGCCTAAAATTGCAGCATTACCTCCACACACTTCCAATCTCCCTTTTCTTTTCTTTGTTTTTGTTTTTGGAAATGGGGGTCTGGATATGTTGCCCAGGCTGGACTCCAGCTCCTGGCCCCAAGCCATCCTCCTGCCTCGGACTCTCCAGTAACTAGAACTACAGGCATGAACCAACATGCTGGCCTAATCTGTGTTTCTTACTCTTTATTCACCTTATCATTTACCACTTTTTTTTTTTTTTTTTTTTTTTTTTTTAGACAGGATCTTGCTCTGTCACCCCGACTGGAGTGCAGCAACATGGTCAGAGCTCACTGCAGCCTGAAACTCCTGGGCTCGAGTGATTTTCCTGCCTCAACCTCATGAGTAGCTAGGAATACAGGTATGTGCCACCACACCCAGCTTTTTTTTTTTTTTTTTGTAAAGACAGAGTCTTGCTCTGTTGCCAAGGCTTTTCTCAAACTCCTTGCTCAAGTCATTTATCACTTTCTTTTTTTTTTTTTAGATGGAGTTTCACTCTTGTTGCCCAGGCTGGAGTGCAACGGTACGATCTCGGCTCACTGCAACCTCTGCCTCTGGGGTTCAAGTGATTCTCCTGCCTCAGCCTCCTGAGTACCTGGGATTACAGGCATGCTCCACGACACCCAGCTAATTTTTGTACTTGTAGTAGAGACGGAGTTTCTCCATGTTGGTCAGGCTGCTCTCAAACTCCCGACCTCGGGTGATCTGCCCACCTCGGCCTCCCAAAATGCTGGGATTACAGGCATGAGCCACCGCACCCAGTCATCATTTTCTAACTGACTATATATCTTTCCTGTTCACCATCTGCCTCCCCTACTGGAAAGTAAGCTCCATGAGGGCAGGGATTTTTGTCTGTTTTGCTCACTGCTGTTTCTCCAGTGCCTAGAACAGTACCCTGCACAAAGGAGGTGCTCAAGAAAGATTTGTGGACTGAATGGTGTCATTTACTCTACAGAAACTCTGGGAGGTATAATGAACCTCCTACTTACAGATAAGAAACTAAGCAGGGCATGGTGGCTCACGCCTGTAATCTCAGCACTTTGGGAGGCCGAGGTGGGCAGATAATGAGGTCAGGAGTTCAAGACCATCCTGGCTAAGATGGTGAAACTCTGTCTCTACTAAAAATACAAAAAAATTAGCCAGGCGTAGTGGCAGGCGCCTTGTAGTCCCAGCTACTTGGGAGGCCGAGCCAGAAGATTTGCGTGAATCCAGGAGGCAGAGCTTGCAGTGAGCCGAGATCACGCCACTGCACTCCAGCGTGGGCAACAGAGCAACACTCCGTCTCAAAAAAAAAAAAAACCTGAAGGTCAGAGCGAATCAATGATTTCTGCCTGGAAGGCTTGTTCCCCAGGTCTCCCTGTGGCTGTCTCCTTCTCTTCATTTAGGTCTCAACTCAAAAGTTACCTCTTAGGAGAGGCCAGAACTGAATCAGACCTATCCCTCTCCCCTCCATCTCTGGTATCCAGTGGGATTCTGCACATCACTTCTCAGCACCTCAGATTATGGCGGCCAAGCATGGTGGCTCATGCCTGTAATCCCAACACTTTGGGAGGTCGAGGCCGGTGGATCACCCGCGGTCAAGAGTTCAAGACCAGCCTGGCCAACATGGTGAAACCCCATCTTTACTAAAAATATAAAAATTAGCCAGGCGTGGTGGCGGGCGCCTGTAATCCCAGCTACTCAGGAGGCTGAGGCAGGAGAATCGCTTGAACGTGGGAGGCGGAAGTTGCGGTGAGCTGAGGCCGCACTCCAGCCTGGGCAACAAGAGCAAAACTCTGCCTCAAAAAAAAAAAAAAAAGATTATTGTGTTTAGGTGGTGGAGTGCTACCTCTCTCTCCACTAGAACAAGCCCCTGAGAGCAGGGATGCTGTCTGCTCGTGGCTTACCCACCACATCTCACCTGTGGGGAGATGCCCAATTGGCTTGGCCCAGGAGCCAACTGTGAGCCAGATTCTCACAGGAGAGAAGCAGAAGAAGGGTTCTGATGGTCAGTCATCCATTGGTTCAGCCAGGCCTGGAGATCCAGGTGGGGCAGCCACTAACCCTTCTCCGGTGAGGGTACAGAAGCACAGTGGCCTTTGCTGGTCCTGAGAGGAAGGAAATGGGAGATCTCCACTGTCCTCACAGAGTCCTTCACGTCCTGCTTATTGGCAAAATCAGGACTGAAGCATCCCGCAGAGCCTGTGGATAGAGGAGCCCAGCCCCAGTCAGCCTGCTAGGGCCCAGCCTTCCTTCCTACTGCCTCACAGGTGCTCTCTGGCTCCCTCTCCCGCTGTCCCAGCAACAGAGGCCCATGCCTGGATGAGGCAGAGATGGGGGCCCTGCCACAATGGTAGCAACCACATCAAATGACACCAGCAGCTCATGGAAAGCCTCTTTATGACAATCCCATAGGTGGGAATTCATGATCCTCCTCATTTTATACTTGGGGAAACTGAGGATTAGAGAGGTGAAATCACTTGTACAAAGGCCCACAGTGAATGAAAAATGGAGTTCGAACTTGAACCAGCAACTCTGGCTTCTATAGTCAATTGCACTGAGGGTACTGATGCCCTTCATCAGGCACAAACCAGCCCTCCTCATGCTGCTGGTATGGAGACTCTCAGAAACTGGGACACCAGGAATTAATCTCAGAGAGGCTAAGTGACCAGCCTGAGGACACACAGTTAGTACCACTGGGCCCTCTCCCAACTGTAGGGGGCTTACCTCATGGGCCAGCATTTTATATAGCTCCTCTCAAGCAGTCAGCAGCCGATCCCGGTCCGTGCTGTGAATCACAAGGATGACGAACTGGCAGGCTTTCTCTATGGTAAACATGTTTTCCCCATCTCTGCACTGCCCAGACGCCAGGCTCAGATAAATGAAACCATGCAGCCTCAAGTTTTCACCACCCTGCTTCCATTATAATTGTCTTTGGCAGCTGGGATTACAGGCACGTGCCACCACACCTGGCTAATTTTTGTGTTTTTAGTAGCGATGCGGTTTTGCCATGTTGGCCAGGATAGTCTCAAACTCCTGAACTCAGGTCACCTTCCTGCCTCGGCCTCCCAGAGTGCTAGGATTACAGGCGCGAGTCACCACACCTGGCCTGTAATTGTCTTTTCTATCCAGACATGGGAACAGCACACCTCTGGCTGTGTGGCAGAGGCTGAGGCTGTGCTACATAAGCACTTGGTGTTCGTGACTCCATTTAGGCCTCATCACAACCCTGTGGACTTGGTACTGTTAGTATCCCCATTTTACAAATGAAGAGACTGAGGCTCCGTGAGGCTACCTATCTTGCTCTTGACCACACAGCTGGTGAGTAGCAGTGCTGGAAATGGAACCCAACTCTGTCTCAGGCCAGGAATCAAACCACTGAATTCTACTCCTGCTGGAGTAAGAAGGTAAGGCCCTATAGACAAGGGGCCTACCCCATCCAGTGCATCAAACAAAGCTGCCAGCAGCTGCCAGGGAGTATTCAAACATGTTAATAGTCAGGCACTGCACTGTGTTGAGTATCTGACATATATACATTACATATTGGTTTGTTATTTAATTTTCACAACAACTCAGGGAGATCATTATATATATGTATATATATAACTTTTGTTTTTTTGAGGCAGAATCTTGCTCTGTCACCAGGCTGGAGTTTCAATGGCGCGATCTCGGCTGACTGCAACCTCTGCCTCCCAGGTTCAAGCAATTCTCCTGTCTCAGCCTCCCAAGTAGCTGGGATTACAGGCGCCTGCCACCACGCCCAGCTAATTTTTGTATTTTCAGTAGAGGTGGAGTTTCACCATGTTGGCCAGGCTGGTTTCGAACTTATGACCTCAGGTGATCCACTCGCCTCTGACTCCCAAAGTGCTGGGATTAGAGGCGTGAGCCACAGCAACCCGCCGATTATTATAATCTCTGTTTCACAAGTTGAGGAACCAAGGCTCAGAGAGGTTACATGACTGTCTGATATCATACAGCTGCCTTGGAGCCCTGGTGCCCTCCTCACCTAGGTGTTGGTGATAAAACTCAGAGCCTCCTGCCCCACTATGTCCCACATGAGGAAGTGGGTCTTCTGCAAAATGATCTCCTCCATGTTGCTGCCAGTGGTGGAACACGTATGGACCACCTCATTGGTCAAGCTGGGGAGGTAGGAGAGGGCACCAAGAGCTCAGTCCAGCCTACTGCCAACTCTGGCCCCCAAATGCTCTACTCCCAAAGCAGGCTGAATCTAACTCAGAACAAGTCCACCCAGGTTCACCAAGCACCTGCTGGGAGCCAGACCCTGTGCTGGGCCCTGGGGAATGAAGACAGGAGTGAGACCAAGCCTTGTCCTGGCTTGGACCCCAGAGATGGGAAACATCTTCAAGCAGGCTCCTCAAACTTTATATCTTTTTTTCTTTTTATAGAAATGGGGTCCCACTGTGTTGCCCAGGCTAATCTTGAACTCCTGGCCTTGGGCTCCTGTCAAGAGATCCTCCTGCCTTGGCCTCCCAAAGTGCTGGGATTACAAGCATGAGCCACAGAGCCCAGCCTCCTCAAACTTTAACATGCAGTTGAATCACCTGAGAGTTTTGTCAAAATGCAGGTTCTGACCCAATGAGTCTGGGCTGGGGCCCAGGGTTTTGCATTTCTTTCTTTATTTATTTATTATTATTATTTTTTTTCTTTTTGAGACAGAGTCTCACTCTGTCGCTCATTCTGGAGTGTAGGCACAATCACGCCTCCCAGGTTCAAGCAATTCTTCCGCATCAGTCTCCAGAGTGGTTGGGATCACAGGCGCACGCCCCTACGCCCAGCTAATTTTTGTATTTTTGTAGAAATGGGGTTTCGCCATGTTGGCTGGGCTAGTCTTGAACTCCTGACCTCAAGTGATCTGCCCACCTCGGCCTTCCAAAGTGCTGGGATTACAGGTGTAAGCCACCGCATCCGGCCACGGTTTTGCATTATTTCTTTCCTTCTTCTTTTTTTTTTTTTTTTT